CGCCGAGTTGCTTTTCGAGTGCATCGAGTTAGTCTTTTAGTGCATTGCGAATTAGTGCATCGTCGAGTTTTGTCTTAGACTGTGCTGAGTCGAGAGCTATGCTCATATGTATCGTCGAGTGCATCGCGTGGAGAGTCTCGAGAATACGTGGAGTTCCGAGAACGACTGAACCGAAGAGTTGGAAGCTGTACTCGGGTGCTTTGCAGTGAAGCTGTCTCCGCTGTTATTGCCTGACAGTGTGAAGGGTGTGTCGCTGAACGTGTCAGCGTGTTTATAACAGTTCGACGACTGTAAAAGGGATTTTAGAGCTATCTGATTAATATTGGTAAATAAAGTGTGCTTCGATCCTTCATCAAGTGTCGTCGTTATTCACTCCAAATTTACGAACCCCGTACGAACTGGTGACAGGAAAAAAAAAAAAAAAAAAAAAAAAAAAAAACCGCAACAATATGTCTCTGCTTAGAAGATAAGGAAACTTTATGAAAACGTATTTCTACTATTTATTTTCCGTAATTTCGTTTTTAGCAAAATCTACACGTTTACAGCATTTCATGTACTTGAACACTTCGTAAGAATTCAGCGTTTGTGGGCAGGATAAGTTAGGTTTATGTGTCTGAGCTTCTGAAGTGTCTGTAAAAGAAAGACATTATTGCTCATTTTGGTGGTTAGCTTAATATTTAATCACGGCATTACGCTTACGAGCGTCTTGCTGTCTATGCATTACTTTTAAGCAAATATAAATGATACATTTTATTTTGATTAACCGTTAATGATGCTATACATGAATGACATTTTACAGCATAATGTTTAAGTTTCTCTCTATGTGTGTTTTCATTAAGTAAACATCCTTTATCAGAAGACATTCACAATTTAATAATAAGCAATCACTTCGCCAGGTTTCTTTGCAAATTATTAGATACACTACGAAAAAGAAATGGGGCAGTTCTGTATGTCCCGCGCTCTACTGCTCCGATTGACAAAATTCAAATTGCGTTTTTCATGTCTCGAAAGCGCGATTAGGATGCACACTAGATTTATATATAACATTATTATAACATAGGCATTTTGACACAAATTTTGAGAGCTAATTTTCTAAAAACATCTACTGCGATTCTTACAAAACTTCGCAGTTTGGCATAATTTGTGTCGTAGAATCGAAATATGGAAAAACATTGGATGCCATTTCAGAAAACGTCCGAATTTTTGTCAAAATAACTATATTAAAACAGTGCTGTACATAATTCTAATACATATCCTAAGTCGCGATTTCGAGACATGAAAAATGCAAACTGAATTTCTCAATCGGCCCAGTAGAACGGGAAACATAGAAGTGTTTTTTCGTTTATGCGCAGTGTACGTTGACAGAAAATATTCCCAAATTTTAAGTGTTCTGAATTCGTTACTATTCAGTGTGACTAGAAAAATCTCCCTACACTTGAACTAAATGTGTGTAACAGTGCATGATGGTAAGACATTTAATAATTTGATACTGGATTACTCCCATCCTGATTATTCATATGACAACACTGTTCCTGGCGTGAATTTTAACAGGGTTGCCACGTAACATGTTTGATGGGTAAGAGAATAAAGACGCCCAAAATATATTACACCCACTTTCCACTCTTGCGGCGCTTGAATGCTTGAATGGACTGTTCGCAAGCAGCTGGATAGGACATGGAATCTCAAATTTACCAGCCACTTATCTTTCTTGAAATTCGGACCTTACAACACAGACAAATCCTGTTGGGAATCAACTCATACTTCAAGGGGAAGTGGTGCTCACGGCAACATTTATATTGTGATGCACACCATTAGGTGGTGTTGTAATGTGACAGTCTATCTAAATATATACCTAGAAGTCCTTAATCGATTTACACGTGCCCAATATTTGCTGGCCTGAATTCTAAATGGTTAGTACATTGCTTATTAAACCTTAGTATCAAGAATAATCAAATAATTCATTTACCCAATAACCCACATGCATGAGACTTGTGGAGACAAATTTCTTTTTCTTAATCTCACATTTATTTTATCAAAAACATTCTCTGAATTAAATATATAACACTGATCACATAGCATATAAAAAACATCAGAATACAATAACTTAAAAGACAAAACGTGAGAACTTAAAAATGGAACAGTAGACAGTTGCCATAAAGTGAAAATTAGAAAACCAATCACAATGTGTTCGCATCGTTCATCTATGTCGTGGGAAGTTTCTCATATTAATTACGTACAGTGCCCACATCATTATACACACGTGCAAGATTTTTTTTTTTACTTTCACATTCTGTTTAACACAAGGAAATCACCACGTGGAGACATACCGCTGACAATGCACTTTCTTGATGAGAACACTCATTGATGAACTCTTGCGGTGTTTTAGAACGTTATCACCGCATCAAGACAGATTTATTTTCAAACTAAACATTTTCACCTAAATTTTGCAATATTTTAGCTACTGCTACTTTTCATGCAAACGAATGACGACACTCCATGAGCGATATATGCGGGAAAGACGACACTACCTGTGAGAGATATGCCAGAAAGGACGACACTACATGTGGGAGATATGCAAGGGCAAAGGTCGTACGACTTCGACGTCAGACAAGCAAGAGCGGGAAGGAAAAAGGGAAAGAAACAGTTTGACCGGTGTCTATATGTGTACGTGCAGTTCTACGATTACAATTAAAGTTGTGAGGATGATGAACTGGGTGGTGTGAGAAATTACCTTTCTCACAGGAAACAATGATGTCACCGGGGACTGGTTCACTGACTGATTCATAAAAAATTCAGTTTTTAGGACAATTAGCGCTTTAGATTTGTAAAATTCTACGAAATCTAAATTTTGTAGAACTTAAAACTTTAACGAGGTATAAAAGTAATTAATGGAATCATTTTTAATTATGTATTTTTAATTATTTGTACGTACAATATTTTCATATTAAAGTATCGTTTTTATAGCATCCAACAATATTCTAACCGTCAGTTTTAATGAAATTTATCAAAATGTTATTATTACTCTATTTTAAAACTTAAGCAATCTAGCGATATTCTCGAAACTAACTTTAGTTTGTCTCTCATTGGAAGCAGAATTATGGCTTTTTTTTTTGTTCTACATCGTAGAACAAAAAAAAAAAAAAAAAAAAAAAAAAAAAAAAAAAAAAGAGTTCTACATCGTAGAACAAAAGCTTATGTTTAAGACCCCGGAAGTTGATGTCTAAGGGTACACAGAATACACTAAATTCTTTTTAAATGAAAATCTTTCATTTGAGTACTTTTGGTGATCTTCTAAATTTGACTTTTAAATTTTCTATTTGTTCTTAAGTGCTCTGGGACAAGATTAGTTTTGAAATTTAATTTTCGTACTTGGCAAAAATTCTCTTTTCCTTCTGTTTGTATTTGCATTACGTTAAACCTAGGTTTTGGAAAACTTTAATTTTTTCAGTTTTTCTATTACGTAAAACATTAACTTAAAATATTACTTAAGTAATTTTATGAAACATTCTATGCCATATTGGGAATTGAATAGACTAAACGTTTATGTTTATGTATATATCTAAAATTTCTTCAGACAGTTTTGTATATGAAAGGAGCTATATTTCTCGATAAATAACTCTGCATGTACTCAAACATCTATATTAAATGGACATTTTATTTTGCCACATATAATTTTGAGCATTTAATTACTTACAGCGTGATAAATATAAATAACAAAAACAAGAGTTCTACAATCATTACGTTTATTTTTGGAGCAGGAGAGAGTGAAAATGAGTTGGTTTTAGCACTCTCCGGAACTCGAACCTGGATCTCTCAAATTTGCACCAAGTGTGCTACCACGAAGGCATGCGGAAAGAAGGCAGAAAACACCTAATATACACCCTTCTTTTAAATGACGACTGTGGATTAGGGGTCAGAATCATGAAATCCTGATGGTGACAATTTATTAACCACCACATTTTAGTTCGGGTGCTAATTTAGAGACATTAGGCGTTTTTGAAGCAGAAGAAGTGAAAAATGAGCAATGCCCTCGCCGGGGCTCGAACCTGAACATACACCACGAAGGCATGCTGAAAGAAAAGATAAAATACCTAACTAATAAATAATTTTGTGGAAAAATACAAAATAATACTGAATTTTAACATAATTAAAACCCATAAAGTAGTAAGAACCCACAATTTATACTTTGAACAATATATTTATCACCTTTTTCTATCATTTTAAGTACTATTCTGATAAATAAAGCCAATAATAGGCTTGTGGCTTATTTACACTATTTTCCAAAATTTGGATGTTGAACGTAGTTGCATACCTTAAGGTGGAATCTAAAATATAACTAATTAAAAGCGGTAGATTGCATACTAGATCATTACCGACTTTCACATGCAAAATCATAATGTATATGGGGAACATGCTTATCTTATTCAGCTGTCAGGAATCAAGCCTGGGACGCATCTATTAATCGCCGGTCCCAATCACTCGAACATAAATGCGTATTTCGAGTTCAGATAAATTAGGCACGTAATTTAGAACACAGTTCTCTTTGCCGAAGATCGTTTTGCGATCATAATCCAAATCGTTGTTCCTGTGCGTTATATTAAATTCATGAACCATTTGTGATTAACTATTTTAACTAAACTAGCGAAGAAGTGACCACTCAGACTTTTGTCAGTATTATTCTTAAGCCAGAAGTTTGGTAATTTAAGACAATTTACTTTGCAATAGTATGTCACATTACTTATATTACATTGCCTTAAATTGTGCTGTGAGGGTTACGCCCATCAAGATCTAAAAATAGTTTTACTTATGAATATATATAAATATAGCAGTTACAGAGATGTGATCTTTCGATGTGTCTGTTTGATCGTATAAGCTTCTCTCAACTTCACTCTTTTCCTCCTATGTCGTAAAAGTTTAGCGGTTGGAGCGCCACCTTTACTGGTCGATTTTCACATAGTTTCTCTGTTTCTCCGCTAAAAGGATCACAGGAATTCGCAGGCTAGCTTCCGCCAGTCGTCTGTCCTCGTTTTGTGGCCGAAAGTTTTCCCTGAAGCAATATGATATTCCGACAAGTGTGAAAAATACGTTCTGTGAATATAAATCTTGAGAGCGCTTATTTTGAAGGGGATTATCGTTATTTCTTACACCGTAAGGTTTATTTCTAGTTTGAATATCATCTGAAATAACTGGTTTAAGTTATTTAAGTTTCTTTGCTTCAACAGATAAAAATTCATACCTATATTTTCTGAATTAGTATACTTAAAAATGTGTGTAATTGTGCCTTAACATTTATATGCGTAGGTGATGAGGAAATGACTAATTTAATTAATTTAGGGTTACAATAATGAGTTTTACGTCACGTTAAAGAAGAAATTAAAGAAGAAACAAATAGCACTCTTCACATGCAATTATAATTTTTAGTGTTCCGAGTTTTCAAAAATAATTTTCTTAACAGTTACCGAAAAAAAAAATTAATATATTTAATTCAGAAAATTTCTATACTAAAGTTCGAGAATATCAGAACTTGATGTATTTTAATAGGCTCGATAATCTTTCATTTCTTTAGCAGACACACAAATGTAAATAGCAGATGTGTTTAAAACTTTTGTAAAATTAAATATAATCTAACAAGTGTTTTACTTTGCGTTAGATATTTCAATAAAAATATGTCGATAACTCGTACGAGTTAGTGTTAAATATGAAGGAGCTCCTTTAAGTACAAAAGCTTTAAGTAGTTGTTAGATAACTGCTAAAAGAAAAGTTGTGTTTAGCGAAAATATCTGTAGATTTTATTAGTAAAAAATGTGCCAGTGAATATATCTTAGATTTAGAAGCAGCATATTTTATGTTCATAGTTTCACAAATCATTCTTAATGCTTACAATTTTGAAAATGTACTGTTTGGTAAAGCACTGTAATAAATATTTTAGAGCAGAAACTTTGAGAAATGTAAGTGCAGAAAATACGTTGAGGGAAGTTCAAGTTATATCATATACACATATTAATAAACTAAACTGTATAGATATCCATGTTCTACCATGTTTTAGCATTTTAATGTATTGTTATGCATCTGAACTGAAAATATAGACTTTTAAAGCCTATTCTGCAAGAATAATAGCAAGTGAAATATAGATAGTAACTTTTATCCACGTACCCATTGCTTGCTTTGAAAGCATCTTGTTTTCATTATATATATACATTTTTGCTGATACATTAGTCTTCTGAACTAAAGAAAAAATTTACAAATTACTTAAAATAAAAAAAACTATAATAAGTACGAATGGAAACTATTTCTTTGCATATTAGAAAGTGTGAAATCTTTATTCTTTTCGTTGTTCGTTGTGTAAGCTTGAAACAATAATTTTCAACAGGTTGTTTTGACGAAAAACCTATTGTAAAGAATCATTCTGTGAATTAATTACTTTCATCGTAAGAGCTTCGTAATTGCTACAAGTATTTACAAAAATGTATGCGAAATGCGATTAACGTAGATGGTATGTAATTCAATTTGATTGTCAAGAGGAACAATTCCAATCAATGTATCCCTGAGATTTGTGACATTTTTATGATTTAAAATTCAAAATATGAACTGGTAACATCTGTTAACTATAATATAATTGTAATAATAATTTCTTATTAACTCTTAAACAACAGTGCATTTGTACAATCAGTGATTTTAATTGAACTGAAGAGTCAACACAGAGGAATATATCAATATGGAGGAAAACGAAACATACGTCTTCGATAATGAAACAATAGTGTTCCCAGATATAACCGTATTCGAATTCATAACCGAAGGTGTTATTTTGACATTTCTAGGTATTATGGGTGTTATAGGGAACGTTATTTCCCTCATTATACTCTCTAGGCCAGAAATGAGATCTTCGGTGAACTGCGGCTTACAAGGTCTGGCCTTTTTCGACACAATTGTACTCATATCTTCGGTGACAATGTTGGGTCTTCACAAGCTAGGATATAAAATGGTTATTCTGTACAAATATACGTTTGAAGTATTTCCCTTTGTAGTTATGGTGGCTTATCCTATTGGACTCATTGCACAGACTGGATCAGTCTGGACAACTGTTGGAGTGACTGTGGAAAGATACGTTGCAGTTTGCCATCCGCTGAAGGCTCGATTTCTTTGCACGTACAGAAGAGCTAGGGTGTTCAATTTACTGATAGTAATATTTGCTGTATGCTACAACATACCACGCTTTTGGGAAATTGATGTCCGTGAAATGTTAGATCCGATGACTAACACGAGCATGTACATTGCTCGCCCAAGTGAGTTCCGTATGAATAAGTTGTATTATAAAGTCTATTACATATGGCTTTATCTATTCGTTATGTACTTTATTCCATTTTTGACTCTAGCTGTGCTTAATATATTTATCTGGCGTGCAGTCCAGCATGCAAATAAGGACAGACAACGCTTGACTCGAAGGGAAGAGAAAGAAATAGGTTTGGCAATGATGCTTATTTGCGTAGTAGCCATTTTCTTCGTTTGCAATATATTAGCCCTTCTTATAAACATTCTAGAATGCTTCGATCTTGTAGTTCCAGCTCTTGTTCGTGTGTCTAATCTTCTGGTTACCTTCAACTCATCTATAAATTTCGTCATTTATTGTATTTTTGGTCAAAAGTTCAAGAAGATGTTTCTTCACATGTTTTGTGGATTTCGCCGTACTAAGAACCAAAGCTTTACAAGTACTCTACAGGTGACACATACTGAAACTTTGCGCAGCGTGGTTCCTCCGACAACAAGGGTAAAATCATTGTCACCAAACGGTACGATGCAATCCAGTAACTTGTAATCCGTTTGGAATTTTAACGAGGAGATCAGCTCTCGTCTTCTGAACAGCAAATTGTCCTGAAGATAGAGTAATGTGCCTCTTACGAAGGTAAGATTCATTTTACTTTTCTGTCTTAAACTAGGAGTTAATAACTTCAAGCAGTGAAAGCATTAAAAATAAATATTTCAATTTTAGATTTTAGATTTTGGTTTTGTCACTTCAGATTTATATAGTTTTTCAATACAGAATAGATTTTTTAAATAAAATAAATAGCTATAAAATGCATTGAAATTTAAAACAAAATATGTCTGGTAACTGGCATTTAGTACATGTATGAACGAGCTATGAGAAGAAGAACAATATATAACTTGCAGTAAAACAACTGCACATAATTTAGAGACGCTCAAGATAAATTCACGTAAACCTTTCGTGTAATATCTTGAGAATTTCATAAAAGTTTCCAGACAGTCTTTTCACTATTTTTAAAATCTCTTGTTTATTATTCGCTACTGATTTTATACGAAAGTGAACTACAAATGATTCGTCATTGTCTGCTGTATTTTAAAGTGAAAATATGACATTTATATAATACTGGCAACTAATTTAACACCTAAGGAGTGTCGGCAGTTTAACGATAGTGTCATGCTAATATGCAATGTAAGAATATCTTTTCTAAAATGATTTCATATTACTTTTTACTTCTAATAAAGCACAATTCGCGGAACGCATACAAAAGTAACCTGTTTAATATGCAAAATTTAAAGTTTTAAGTAGAAGTTGAAGAACTGAGGAAAACAGCACTGAATTGCTAAAATAATTTAATAATACTATTTAAAAATTCTATTATTTTTCGTTCTAATCCTTGAAAATTAACTATTAAGGATATAGTAATAAAAGAATTAAATCATAATTATATGCTACGTATTTAATTGCAAGAAGTTTGATAAAAATATTTACATATTTTAGCTACCTAAAATGCTCAATTTTTAAAATTTTCAAGAATTAAAGATAAATCAAATGAACCATAATGAAGAGACATTCATTTAAATCGTTGAAATTAAATTGATTACTTAAATGGAAAATGTTAGTGAAGTTAACGTTTCTACGAACTAGCAAACTTTATTTCAAGAGAACACAAGCGTTTTCTGAAGTTTATAAATACAGTAACTTTAATATTTGTAAATTTATATGTTAACGTGTTAGTAATAGGTTTTATTTATTCAATGAAGTTTTAAATATGTATTTACGCTGTCTTGATTATTAATTACGTAGAGTTGCGTTGGTAAAATATAATAAAATATGCAGGAAAACCCCAGGAACTACTAAAATGGAAAATTGTATGAATGATATTTTTTTAAATATATTTTCTAAATTCTTTTAAGATTTCAGAAAAGTTTACGTTAGGTTGTTTTCAAGAACTCATAAAGTGCATTTATTTTATGATTTATGGAAGAGTTTATATTCTAAATTTCTATTATTTTAATAATAATAACAGCTACTTCAATAAAAAAATGTTACTAAATTGTCTTTATTAACATAGCGAAATATTGTTAAAATGTTTTTTCTTTATTTTTCACATTATAGTATTCGAAGGTTTAGCAGAATTTTTTCAACTATATCCTTTTGTCAAACACGTATTGGGAAGAAGGTCTAAATGATTAAAGCAATAAAACAAAATAAAAATCTCACTTCGCAGAACACTAAAATGAAGGCGGGTGAAGGGATCAATAAGTAAGACAAAATTCTGTCTGGAGAAAAACTGCTTATTTATTGATTGCATAATTTCATTAAATAAATTTTATTCAATATGATGTGCTCTTTGAAGAAAAACATTTGTTTTTTGAAAAAGGTATTCCATAGTACTATGAGAATAACTCAAAACGTCAATACAATAATAAAAAAAATTCGAAAACTAAATTAATTATGAAAATACGATTTTTGTTTAATATATGTTTCAAACTGTTGTAATTAAGAACAACATAGATATAAAGATAATTTCAGTGAAAATTAAGTGTGTGTGTATTTAATTATGGCAAAGCACACGAGGGCTATCTGCCTAAGAGGAGGGATGCCTTTGTGGAGGACTTTCCTAAGGGAAACTGGCTCGTATACACTTTACACATGGGGAAAACCACGAAAACGCCCATGCAGCCAGCCCGTTCGCGGGATTCGAACCTCGGACCGAACTACCAGTGTTCAGCAACTTTACCGCTCGGCCGCTGGTGGGCCCCAGTGAAAATTAAGAATCAAATGATTACTCATTTCATACAGTTTAAATAATATGTATTATTATTTAAAATTTAAATGAATACCATACTCCTGAAAGATGAAGGAATAGTTCACCTAGCCAAATGATAAATTCATGATATATTACATAAAAAGTAAATAAGATACTTATTTTAAATCAAAATGTGATTTAACATTGTATATGAAAGAAAATGTAATTTGATTTATTAAAGATGCAGATGAAACTTGAAACATAATCAAAGTAAATTAGACATCATTCTTTGGATTAATGAATAAGTATTTTTTTCTAAAGTAAAAGTCTAATGTAAAAAAAGGGGACGAAATAATACCTATTTCAAAATCCTCTGAAAATCCACCTTGTATAAAAACAATGTTCATACATACAGATAGATATATAAGTATTTATGGATCAATAGATAGATATAGATGTAGATATGCATTAAGTAATCTTCATGGTTAGAATTAAAAAATCATTAAACAGGTTTATAAATGAAAACTCTTGCGCAGGGAGCAGATTTCTTAAAAGTAAGTTTAGGCAACGTATTCTTTTCCTATAGTAAACACTTATTTTCATTGAATGGGGAAAGAAAATATTTTATGAATAACCTTGGATATCGTTTAAAATATGCAGAATTATATCTGTAATCGAAACAGGTAAGTTTCAAGAATCTAATAATAAAATTACACATAAAAAATTAATCTTTCAGTTTTATATTAGAGACAAAGGGGTGTTTTTAACGTTTTGCGTGTTACATTTATTTTTTAAATATCATGTTCTTCGCACTTAAACCATAAAATTCAGTTCAACAGCAGTACAAATTAAAATGTGGGCTTCCAGATGCCTATATTCGAGTGGAGGACAAAGTTATTCAATATTTGATGCCTGTAGGTGCCGTTGTTTTTCACACTGCAAGACACATACATACATTCATAAAGATTCTTCATTATTTAGTTTCTTTAAATATAATGCAGAGCTGTAATATGTTTGGTGGCAACGCTGTTTTGAAAAGTGAAACGCTGTTTTATAGTGAATGACGCAAAACGCCAAAACGAAATTAATATCCCTTCTGGGCCAATGATACGGGTTCTCTTAAACCTTCCTATTCAGACAATGTTGAGACATGTAACCAAGACATATAATTCAGTATGGAAAAAGCGATAGCAAAAACAAGTTTCCATATTCCGTATTTAAAGATATTTTAAGACATTGTGCCCCCATTCTAGAAATGATAACTGGAGGCATAACAACGTAATCGCAAGCTAATAATAAATAATATTTCAAATTTGTCTTAACCATTCGCGTTTCGCATGTTTGAGTTTGCTGAGAGCTTGTACGTACTTTGAAGGTTTTGGAAAATTTGGTAAAAGTATTTATGGACTCTCATTTTAAAAGCTCGAATTTTAAATTTCTCCAAATTCCTTTCCAGTAACAGCATAATACATCTATCATCGCTTAATTATTTAATCAGCTCATAAAACAGAACATAATAGTCGAACTTTGGGAGATTTTAATATATGACTAGTATGAAATTATGAAAGAATATTTAAGAGGAGTTTCAAGAGGAGCTTTTTATATGATAATTAGGCTATTTTAACTTATAAGGTATTATTCCCGCCTTCTTAGCAAGCCTTCATGGTGTTGTGGTCTGCACGCTCACCGCATAATTGAGAGGTCCGCGGTTCGATTCCCGGTGAAGGCGCTGCATATTTTTCATCTCCTTTCCTGCTTCCAAAATACCTAATGTCTCAACAAACTCATTATCAAATTAAAATTAATTATATACCAAAATACGATTTATATGTCCTTTAATAAATAACATTATAATAAAATAATTAAATTGACAGCTACAGATATTACAGCTAGCAGAATATTTTTGAAAACTGTATGTAAATGAGTTTTTAAAGGAGAATCTTCCAAGTAAAACTGTCCGGGCTTTGGCAGATTATGAAATAGAATGAAAATTAATAATTTTAAACTACAGTGCATTACATTTTGATTAGATATAGTTCAGTTTTTTAATATCTTCTTATTGCATTAAATGTAATCAGAGAATGAGTTTATTTTTATTTCACTGTTGTCATCTTTAATTTGTCTGTTCTTCTTTTATGGAATACTTATGATTTTTACCTTTATCATAAAATAGAGATTGTTTTAATATCGATAAATCATGGTACTTATTTCTTAATTTTATCATTTAGTAATTGAGAATTATGGTTTCGAGAGTTAAATGAAGACATTTTTACACAATTTCCCAAAATTTGTAAACCCATAGCTTTATAGAATCTTCATAATTATTTCTGAGTAACAAATCCTTACTCTCATTAAAAATGATATAAAGCTAGATAGAACTTTCCAAATATGGAACTCCAATAGTATAATTGTATTAAACTAATTACATTAACCAATATAATTGTTTAGAAGTCAGAGATTTCAGCTATCTGTCTTGCTTGTTCTTTTATCTTCTGAGCCAAGTAACTTAATATCTAGCAAACTAAATTTTTTCTTTTGCTTAAGTGCCATAAATACGTAAGTCAAACGATATTTTTAAGAAGCCATTGCTTATCTCTAACATTGGCTCTCCTTCTTAATACAAGCCGAATAATCCTGATCATATTATCTTAACTCTCTTTTCAAGCGAGAAGTTTTCTTTTTCAATAAAAAATATCAGCTACAGCCAGGAAATTGTAAGAGCAAAAATTTAATAATAATTTATTTTGAAGATTATTTTATCATATGTTAATAAAAAAGAGAGTCATTAAAACTTCCTCGCAACGGAAAGAAAAAAGCACGCTATGTATTTGATAAATATTATTTTAATATAATTTTAGTATAAAATAAAAGCAACAACACAGTGTGCTAA